TGTTTGTATTTCCCTCCCCTGATTTTATGTAAGCCGCCCTGAGTCCCCTCAGGGAAAAGGGCGGCCTATAAATGTTAATAAACCTAAACCTAAAATCTTGATTACCTAATTTACACATTTCAATTTATTTTACTTCATTTCACCGTAGCCTTGTAAACCGATGTCAGATTTACACATGAAACACAGAATAGTGTTATGAATATACATTTAAGAAATAACTTTATTGTTCATTTGCAATGAACCACCCTGAAAAATAAGAATGTTGTCAGAAATAACTTTTGCTATATAAAAACTTTTGAGTAGTTTTCAATCAAATGCCTAATTATTAACTTGTAATTCCCACTTGAATTAATAAAAACTCTGAAAACGTAATAATATGAAGCGAAGAAAATTTCCTCCTTTGTGTTTTTATAGATTTGAAATATTTCATTAATGTTTTCATCAAAAGAATAGTTTATCTGCATTTTTTGCATTATTAATGTTATGCTACAATAACAGTCTTAATGCAGTTTCATTATTTCTACTTCAATGAAACACAAAAATATGCATAGTGCTTGCTTCTGGGGTTTGGAAACCTTGAAAGCAATTAGCCCTCATTGAATTAAAATACGGGGGAAAGCACCATTTTTCAGCCACTTCTATATAATAGATTTCTCTTTCAGTTTCTGCAGATTGATTTCTTCATAAAGTTGCTGTCGGAATTTCAGCATGTCTTCAACATCTTTGTAGCAAAGTATTTGTTCAATAGACAACAGCTTAAAACTATCTAACTTAAATGGGGACTTATTTTGTACAGAGTTTAAAATCCCTAATGACACTTTTACTGAATCACTTAAATGGGAGCATACAGGGAAGATTCGAACTGTCCACAAACCCAAAGATGTTTTGTCCCCCGAAAAGAGGTCACCTGAAATTCTCAAGCCCCAAAGCTCTAAGCATTGTTTAAGTCCAATGCCAAAAAGACTTAGTGGGTGTATATCTGCAAGACTTGCCACATTCTGTTTCAAGTTATCTTCTATGCCCAGCACCACGGTCACATACCTCAATTCTCCATCAATTCTTATGCTCAAGGTTGTCATAAAAGTATTTGGGGGTATGTCTGCTTTTGTGTCAATGGAACAGCCACTGATGATACTGTTTGTTCCCACTGAAACCTTGGAACCTAATCTAGAATATTCAATTAGTGAACCAGGTGCAACAAAACACTTTGAACTAAGCATACTGTGAATGATACAAGCTGATTTATCCAAGTCTTCTGCCTTGTTTGAACAGATGCTAAAAACATTTGGCAGCAGACCCAACTCCAATTTCAGTTTTCTATCAGAAGTGTAATGAAACAAACACTCACGAGTAGTTCCAATATGATAGAATTTGGAATTATTTAGGAGTATAACATTGAGAGGCAAACCTTTTAGTGTATTAAATACCTTCTCCCTTATTTCTATTAGACCTGATTCTTTTGTGACATTTTCAATCTTTTTTGCATAATCTTTTGTTGCTCCAGACCCTAATGCCTGCAGAAAATCACCATAGGCATCTATTTCATAGCAAAGTTTGCCTATCTGTTTATAAAATGTTAGCAGAAATTTTGCAGTGGTGTGATCAATGTAAAATAAGCTGTCTGTATATACAAATTCAGATTCCATAAGTGAATCTCCCAGTTCTCCAGAAGGCAATGTTTGATAATCACTCCTTTTATGCACTGCTCCAGACTGATACATTTTTTCAATGCTAGGCTTATGCAGAAAACAATGGCAAGATCTGTAGTCAAGTTCTTTTTCTATCAGGTGTAATGGAGGCTCCAATATAAAAACTCCATGAGTTGTACCAATGCTCAAATTGGAAGGATGAGCTAATGCAGTAAATCCAGGCTGATTAAACCTTAGGGGTTCTGTTGCATCAATATTATAAAATTCAATATCATCTGCGCATGTAATCAAAACACCTGGATTCATACAAGCAGGAAAATCAATGTACATGGCTAATTTCAAATCAAGCATTTGGTAAATTGGATCCCCACAAGGCAAAGCTGTGAAAATTTTTCCCAGGGCACTGGCGTTCGGTAAACGTTGACTATAACCACCTTTATAAAAACAGAAAAAAATGAAGAATGTTTAATATAAATAAAACATGCCTGCATTCATATTCATATGCATCCAGATTCTAAAGAATTTTACTTGAGGTTCTTTAATATCTTATGTAAATATTTTAATATGATGTATGAAAAAGATCTGTGAAAACACATACTTACTAGTAACTTCCCCTGATAGCCCTTAGAATATTCAGAATATCTGCAACCCAGGATGTAGTGGATTTTAGATACAATATTACAAAGGCTAAGAAAAGGTTATATTGTTTTTAAGATGTAAATATTTACAAAGCAAGTAAAAGTTTACATTAAAATTCTGATATATATATATATATATATATATATATATAT